TTTTGGTCTTTTTGAGACAGGGTCTCCCTGTAGCCCAAGCACTCCTGGAACTCACTATGTAGACCAGGCTGGCCTTGAACTCACAGAGATCCGCCTGCCTCTGCCTCCCAAGTGCTGGGACTACAGGGTGCACCATCACCCCCAGCTTGGATTCTCCCCATTTTACAGATAAGAGAAATATTAAGGCTTCAGAAGGCCAAGTGTCTTATCCAAGGTCACAGTGATAAAAAAAAGAATGCAGCCCACACTCTGCCCCCAGCTCTGCCTCTGGCACTCTCCCAGTCTCCTCCTAGGGGAGGAGGAGAGAGAGTCCTGGAAAGGGGTGCAGAAGACAGCCTGAGTTGCCTTTGAGGATCTTTTACTGTGTATCTGCTCAATTTACTGTCATCTTCAAAGATTCTCTTTTGGGGGCTGGGGAGATGACTCAGTGGGTAAGAGGGCCTGCTCCCCAAGCATGAAGATCTGAGTTCTAATCCAAAGCATCCATCTAAAAAGGAAGCCATCACCATGTGCACACCTGTTACCCCAACACTGTAGGGGGATGGAGACAAGAGAACTGCTGGGGTTTGCTGGCTGTCAGCCTCGCTCCAGATTCAGTGACAGGCCCTGTCTCAAGAAAATAAGACAGAAAGTGATAGAGCAGTACATGCAACATCTTCCTCTGGCTCCTGTGCACCTCCAAGGGTGCATGTACTATATACACATGTATGTATACACTACACATACACACACCCCAAAAAAGACCCTCTTTTTTCTCATCTCTGTATATAACTGTCCATTCTTACTTATCAGTTACTGTCAGGCCTTTCTATTTTTTTATTTTTATTTTTTATTTTTATATGCATGAATGTTTTGCCTAGATGTATGTAAGTGTACCACATGCATCCCATGCATGCAGAGGCCAGCAGAGGGCATCAGATCCCTTGGAACTGGAGTAACTGATGGTTGTCAGCTGACATTTGGGTGCTAGGAACTGAACCCAGATCCTCTGCAAGAACAGCCAGTGCTCTTAATTGCCGAGCCATCTCTCCAGCCCAGGACTTTCTGGGGTTTTTTTTTGGGGGGGGGCGGTCACAGGTCTCCCACAGATGCCGAGGACCAAGATGTTCATGATGTTTCTGCTGAGGACTAAAGCCCACTTGTTTTGATGAGACTTACTGCGCTGGTCATCCGTCGTTCTCCACACCCTCTGCCTGGTCTGGTTGCTTTCCCAGGCTTCCGGGTGGTGCTTCGAGAAGCCGATGCGGGTCTTCTGGTGCACAGCCAGCAGTCCCAGACTTCTTCATCTCAGGAAAAGGTCCATGGGAGCTTTACCCACCCAGAGAAGACTTGACAACCTCTGAAGGACTCATTTCTGCTGTGTAAAAATGAGGTCTCCCTGACAAAAGGAGCGGGCTCACTATCCATGTAGCCTTCACTCATTCATTCCTCAGGCCCATCTTGTGCCCCCGTGTGTCCAGTGCCATGCTAGGCACAGGAATGGGGTATGCACAGAATACAACATGGTCCCTGTCCCTGTGGAGTATGTCATGTCAGCCAGGATTTCTCAGCCTCAGCACAGTTAATATTTGAGACCAGTGGCTGGGGAGACAGCTCAGTTGGGAAAGTACTTGCTACACAAGCACAATTACCTGAGTCCAATTCCCAAAATGCACACTGAAAAAAAATTTTAGGGGCTGGACAGCTGGCTCAGCAGTTAAGAGCACTGATTGCTCTTGCAAAAGACCTGGGTTCAAGTCCCAGCACCCACATGGAGGCTAACAACCATGTGTAACTCCAATTCCAGGAATCCTGCACCCTCTCTGGCCTCTGTGGGCATTGCACGACACGGGGGCACTTACATGCAAGCAATACACTCATACACATAAAATAATAAAAATAAAAAAGTTTGAAAACAAAAACCAAGGTGGATAGCTTCTGATGATTGGCACTTGAGGTTGCCATCTGGCCTCTCCATGTACACATGGATGTGCACACACATACTTTATCATCCTCTGTCATACACACAAAGTATTTGGGGCCAGATGATTCCCATCTGTTTGACCGGGAACTGTCCTGTGTGTGGTTAGGTGTTCAGTGGCATCCTCATCCTCTTCCCACCAGATGCATTTTCCCTCCTCAGATGTCCCCAGACTTCACTAAACAACCCCATGAAAGGAGGTAAAATCAGCCCCACTAAGAGCCACTGTTCTAGAAGGAAGACAGTCATGCATCAGAGGCAGAGCCACCCAATGTAAAATTTATAATTCTGCAAAATCACTTTCTGAAGGGCGGGAACACAGTTCCAGTGAAGCATCTGGCCACGGATAGGCCTAGATGGTCAGCAACAGAGATGGGAAGCCTCTGGAGCTCCTCTTCCGTAATCGTAAGGGGCTCAGCTTCCAGTGGTAGACATAAACAGCAGAACGCAGAGAGTTTATATCTTTTTGGGAGGGGTTGTTTTTTTGGTTTTTTTTGGTCTTTTTTGAGACAGGGTCTCCCAGTAGCCCCAGCTGTCCTGGAACTCACTATATAGATCAGGCTGGCCTTGAACTCACAGAGATCCACCTGCCTCTGCCTCCCGAGTGCTGGGATTAAAGGCATGCACCACCATGCCCGGTTGTATCTTTTTTATTTCAGACTCAGAACGGCCTTTTCAACTCTGGCTCCAGTGCCGCCATTGAAAAGTCAACAAAAACAGATGCTGCGGAGGCCTTAGAGCTCAGTGAGAAGCTGGTGTGTGCATACAGTATCCCCTTCCTGTCCCCTCTCTGTCCCTTCCCTGTCCCCTCTCTGTCCTTCCCTGTCCCCTCCCTGTCCCCTCTCTGTCCCCTCCCTGTCCCCTCCCTGGCCCCTCTCTGTCCCCTCCCTGGCCCTCCCTGACCTCTCTCTGGCCTCTCTCTGTCCCCTCCTTGTCCCTTTCCGCTCCTGGCCCCTACCTGGGTCCCTCCCTGGTCCCTTCCTGACCCCTTCCTTGCCCATCCCTGGCCCCTCCTGGCCCCTCCCAGCACCCAGTCACCCCCAAAACATTTTTACTGTTAACCACAGGATTGTTTACTAAGCATCAGCCTCCAAGGCCTTTTGAGTCGTTCTAATAGCTCTGCAAGACCCAGTTACTACCCAGCATGGGTCAGAAATCAGCACACAGCTGAATTCCTTGAAAGCTCAGTAGTCAGAGGAGTGTTAATTTCTGTTGTCATTTTCCCCCCCAGTTCTGAACAAGATGTGTTATACATGGATGTGGGGGGATAAAAGACCTAACAGCAGCCACAACCAACATCCTTGCTTGCTGCTGAGGTTGCAAAGAATGAGCTAGAATCAGAGTTGGCTTCCTATGGCCACACGCACCCTCAGGCACTGCCTCTTACCTGGACCACTCTGCTTGTAGTACATGGACATGAGCAAGACTCTCGGGAGCCTGATGAACATCAAGGACATGTCAGGCCACGTGTCCATGAAGCACCTCTCCCCCAAGGAGCGTGAGAAGGTCAACCATCTCCGACAGAAGGACCTGGATCTGGTGTTTGATAAGATCACCCAGCTCAAGACCCGGCTGCAGAGGAAGGAGGAGCTCCTAAGGGGATATGAGCGAGACCTGGAGCAGCTCAGGTACTGCACACGTACCCTGGCTGAGCATGGATGACAGCACACAGCTGGGCTGGGACGGGAGGCAAGAGGCCAAGATACAGAATATCGAAAACATCCCATGGGGAGGAGGCCAGAAGGGATGAGGCTGTCTGTGACACAGCAGCAGTTGGAGCACCATGCCTCTCCTTCCTGTCTGCTCTCAATGTGCTGGCTGCACCTGTTAAGAACCTTGATTTGTGAGCTGACGATGTGGCTCAGTTGTTAGAGTGCTTGCCTAGTATACAAAGCCCTGGAGTTCCATCCCCAGCACGGCATACAACTAGACATGGTGGTTCATGTCTACAATTCCAACACTCAGGAGGTAGAAGCAGGAGGATCAGGAGTTCAAGGCCATCCTCCACTACATAACAATTGAGAGACCAGCCTGAGTGACAGGGGACCTTTGTCTCAAAAAGGTCAGGGAGGGAGATGCTGGAGATGGTTCACTGAATAAAAGCACTTGCCCCACAAGCATAAGGATCTGAGTTCAAATTCCCAGAACCCACATATAAGCTGGACAAGGGAGTGGGAATATCTGTAATCATGGTGCTCCTGTGGGGGGATGGGAGGCAGAGAAAGAATTTTCAGAACCTCAGAGGCCAGCCTGCCTGACATGTGATGCAGGAAAACAACAAAGATCCTCTCAAACAAAGTGAAAAGGGAAGGAGCGGGCTGCTTTTCCCAAGGTTGTCCTCTGACTTTCACAATATTCATGCCTGCACACACACACACACACACACACACACACACACGAACCATGAGTTATGATTCAGCATTTGCATGTCTTTGAATGTTCCAACGTTTCCCTAAGAGTTGCGGGCCCTATCCACACCCTGGGACATTGGGAGAGGCTGGTAACACATCCTGGGACGCCCGACACTGTATGTGTCCAGTTGATGAGCTGCATGTTCTGCCCTCTACTTCCTGAATCTTTGTCATTGTCTCCTAAATCAGCCCCATGTAGTAGGATCTAGAGAGGGCATTGGCTGGGACTTTGGTGATGAATGGGGGCAATGAGGGGAAAAGGGACTCTGTCTCTCCGTGTACCCAGGCAGAGCAAAGTTTCTGTTCAGACGTACCAGACGCAGGTGGCAAAGCTGGAGGACGATGTCTACAAAGCGGCTGAGGAGAAGGCGTTGCTGAAGGAGGCCCTGGAACGCACAGAGCAGCAGCTGTACCAGGAAAAGAGACTCAACAGGGCCTTCAGGCAGCAGAAGGTGAGCCCCTCAGCTCCTTAGAAACAATACCTCCTGTGTCCCAGGAGGATCCACAGATCCTGAATGCATTGGAGGAAGGCTGCAGAAGAGCTTTAATGAGTCTATTTAGTTTATCGCCCATATGTATATGTGGGGGGGGGATAAAACGGCGTATATATGGAGGTCAGAGGACAACTTTCAGGAGTCAGTTCTGTCCTTCCACCATGTGGGTCCTAGGGATCAAACTCATGCTGTCAGACCTGGCGGTAAGCCATCTTGGCAGCCCCCTCAATTCTTGCTAAGAACAGATCTCACACTAGGATCAACTGACATGGAAATTAACTACTAACTCTGTCTCTGGGCCCAGGGCTTAGTCTGTGCTTTGCAGGTGTGATCATTTATTAATGCCACTAAGAGTCCTGTCCTGTGGGGACCACGATCTGGACCCTCAAAGGGTTGAGAAACCTGGGGCTGGAGATGTAACTCAGTTGGTAGACTGTCTAACATGCAGAACCCCCTAGGTTGAATTCCCAGCACCACATAAACTGAGTGTGTTGATGTATGCCTGTGATCCCAGCACTTAGAAGGTAGAGACAGGAGGATCAGGAGTTCAAGGTCAACTACAGAGCCAAGATTGAGGCCAGCCTGGGCTAAATGAGACCATGTCTTTAAGAAAAGAGAGGCAGGGAACAGAAGGTTGAAAGGTTTGCCCAGGTTTACACAGTAGCTGGTAAGTAGGTCTGTACCATGACCCCAGACCCCTCCAACCCTGATTCCTGTCCTATATGCTGGGCTGGCCCCCAGGGTTTCCTTGTAATTGTTAGCTTTTTTTAACTTTGAAGCTGTGTGTATACATGTGTCCTTGCATGCATGTACATGTATGCATGTATTTGTAGATGAGTATTTGCATGTATTTGACTGTGTGCCTGAGTATTGAAATATGCATGCTTGCACGTGTGCATGTACATTTGTATATTTGCATATAGATGACTGTAACAGCATGTGTGTCCATATGTGTTTGCATAGGTATGACTCCTGTGAGTACATCAACATGGATGTGACTCTGTGTGTGCGTGTGCGGTGTGCCTGAACTCTGAGGAGGCCAGGCCTTCAGAGAAGGGCACTACTCCCCATTCTGGAAACACTGTCCAGCAGGGAAAGCAGCTGTCTACTCGGTGGCAGCCCCCTAGACGTGGCAGCTCACACTCGCCGCTCTGAATTAAACATCACAAGCCTCAGGTGTGTCATGGGTTGCCTCTGGCAGAAAATAGGGGCCTTCTGCACTGAGCCATGCCAAGCCAGCTGGGGCAGTGCCGGGAGGTTGGACTTGTTATCTGATATAACCACCAGGACATCTACTTCTTCCCAAGGTGCCCCCTTGGGAAGCCCAGATCCCCAAATACAGACACACAGAATAGGATCCTGGAGGGCCCCCAGCAGCCCATTGTAGCGTGCTGGCAGAAAATATAAGAAACCCGAGGATTTGCATAATCAGGGCCACATGCATTATTCATGAGCTGCCTCATCAGTACACAGTGCAGAGCCATCCAGCCTGTTGGCCCCAGACTTTCCTCTGCAAGGAAGATCTGAAATGGTCCGGTTCAAACTGCAGCATGGGTCCCAGAAGAGGGAGAGCTGGGGACTTGCAAATCCACGGGTTTCTCAGTGAAGGGAATTGGGCCAAGCAGCAATGTATCCACACGTCCCGACGGACACACTCTGGCTCACACGTGCCTACTGGCTAGGTGCACCTGCTCTGTCCTACACCTGTCACATTCCACAGCCAGGACCCACAGGCCCAGAGGAGAAACTGAGGCTGACAGAAGGTCACAATGCCAGGCTGCCCAGCAACAGACAGGGGACTTCCAGCCAGCACTCCTCCTCCCAGCCCTGTGACTTATGCACCCTGGTACTAGTCTCCTCCTCCCCCACAACCCCACTGCTCTGGGAGGATTCCAGGGCTCTGGTTTGATCTAGGCTTGTAACTACCACGTTCAGAAACTCCTGTGTTTTAGGGGAAAGAAAGCCTAAGGTTGTGCTGGATTCCAAAGGAAACCTGTACTCCTCTGTCTTGTGAGGAGTGTATTTTTATTTTTAAAAAATGGAAGTTGAAGCCAGGCTTGGTGGCGCACGCCTTTAATCCCAGCATTAGGGAGGCAGAGGCAGGCGGATCTCTGACAGTTCAAGGCCAGCCTGGTCTATATAGCGAGTTCCAGAACAGCTGGGGCTACAGGGAGCCTCTGTCTCAAAAAGACCCCCCCCCCAAAAAAAAATGAGAGTTAAAGTCTCAAGTGGTGGTGCACGCCTTTAATCCCAGCACTCAGAAGGCAGAGGCAGGTGGATCTCTGTGAGTTTGAGGCCAGCCTGGTCTCCGTAGTAAATCCAGGTCAGCTGTGACTACAGGGCGATGCTGTCTCAAAAAGACAAAAAAAAAAAAAAAAGGAAGTTAAGGCTGGGCATAGTGGTGCTCGGCCTTTAATTCCAGGCTCAGGAGGCAGAGTTCAAGACCAGCCTGGTCTACATAGTGAGTTCCAGACCAGATGGAGCTACAGGGAAACCCTGTCTCAAAAAGACCAAAAAAAAAAGGAAGTTAAAAGAAAATGGATTTTTTTTTTAAGCTTTAGATTTAATATTTTCTCAAGGAGCCTTAACTTCTTTAAAAAATGGACTGGTTGAGACCCTGGGGAAGGAAACTTCTCACCTGGAGCTTCAGAATCATGCTCCCCCACCACAGACAGACAGACATGCATACAATGTAGTTTTAATGTCTGAACAGCTTTCTAGATGTTCTAGATGTTTCTAGAATCAAAGTCATGCCTCCATACTAATTTTTTTCATTTCTTTAAATTTCATTGATGAACTGTAATCGCATATGGCACTGGGTTATGTAAGGACATTTTTGTGCAAGTATATATTGTAGATAAGCATGTCCCCAAGCCCCCACTCTCCTTTCTCTCACCCCTCTTTGTCCCCTAGATAATTTTGCTTCTATGTCCATGCCATATATACACATCCATGATTTTATGATATGTCAATAGAAAATCTAGAAAACACAAATGGGAGAAAACACACTATTTGTCTTTCTGGGAATGGCTTAACTTGCTCTATACTAATACCTTTGATTGTACAATGAGACCTATTATAAAATGCTAAGAAAGGGGGTGGAGAGATGGCTCAGTGATTAAGAGCACTGGCTGCTCTTCCAGAGGACATGGGTTCGGTTCCCAGCACCCACGTGGCAGCTAACAACCATCCATAGCTCGTTTCAGGAGGTCCAACGCCCTCTTCTGGCCTCCACAGGCACTGCACACACATGGTGCACTTACCTACAGGCAAGCAATACACTCATATACATAACATAAAAATAAATAATTTTTTTAATGCTAAGAAAGAAAGACTCAGTACTGGACTCAGAGAGCCTCCTGGTCATGACCTCCTGAACCCAGGGTGCCTTGGAGCTCTGTGCATGGAATTATAGGACAGTGACAGTGTCTTGGGCTGTACTTAGTCCAGCCAACTTTCCACAACCCCAGATAAGGCAAGTGTCTCTCTCAAAACTAAGAAATCAAGGGACTGGAGAGATGGCTCAGCAGTTAAGAGCACTGACTGCTCTTGCAGATGACCTGGGTTCGATTCCCAGCACCCACATGGCAGCTAGCAACAGTCCATAACTCCAGTTCCAGGGGATCCGACGCCCTCTTCTGACCTCCATTGGCATTGCAGGCAATACGCTCATACACATAAAATAAAAAATAAATAACCCAGGCATGGTGGAATATGCCTTTAATCCCAGCACTCAGGAGGCAGAGGCAGGCAGATCTCTGTGAGTTCGAGGCCAGCCTGGTCTACATAGTGAGTTCCAGGACAGCTGGGGCTACAGGGAGACACTGTCTCAAAAAAAAAAACAAAAAAAAAAAACCCTAAATAAATAAATAAATGATAAATTTTTTTAAAACTAAGAAGTCAGTTTTGAGTTCAAACAGAGTGCATGCCCACCTCTGCCCCGAGTGACTCTGCCACCATGCCCCCAGTTTCTCAACAACAGCAGTAGCAGCAGGGTCCACTTTGCAGGACAGTGGGGAAGGGAACTCAGGCAGTGTCCAGCCCACAGCAAACTTGGTTACTATAGGGAGAGGAAGGCAACTCTGGACCGTGGGGGCCAAGCATGGGCTTCTGACAGAGCACTGCCTCCAGCTGCCAAGTCCAGCAAACCTCAAGGCTTTTTCCTGCTCCCCCTACAGCTGGCAGCGCCTTTGTAAAGCTTTCTTTTCTAGCTGGTGAATGCAGCTGAGGCTGTGGCCAAGAAAGAGCCGATACTTTCCATGAATGGCTCCGATGGGAATTTCAATAGAAAGCCTCTGGACGCCTGGGAGCTGCCCTCTGAGAAGTGAGCAAGCCCTTTCCCTGGCTTCATCAGAGTGGGAAGTATGAGAACAGTTGAACTCAGTGGCCATGGCTCTGCTCTCTTTCAGACCTGTCAAATCCCAGCCCAGGGGCTTGGCCACTGCTTTCCCAGGTGATCTCAGCAGCACTGGAGCCCCCAACCCTCCTTGTTTCATTGCCTCAGATCCCTCAACTTTGAGATGAGAATTAAAATGAGGCTTAACTCGCAATGTTCAACCAGAGCGTGGCTGCAAAGTGCTGGGCAAACGGGACCATTTGACGATGCCCTTGCTTCACCACCGTCATCCTATTGTTTTTCATTCACTGCTGTCCAAGATTTCCTTGGGCCCGAGTATTCTCTAGATCCTGTGGCCAAGGAGTAGAAATCATTAGAGGGCCACAGAGAGATTAGATCATAGAGTAAAGGTATTGCCAACAAACCTGATGACCTGAGTTTGAGCCTCAGTATACACATGGTGGGAAGGGGAAAACTGACTCCAAGTTGTTCTCTGACCTCCATATGTTCATCATGGCATCTCCTCCTCCTGCAAAAAATAAATACAATTACAACAAAATCACAACCAAGGACTGGGATGCAGCTCAGAGACAGAGCACTTGCCAAGGATGCTCAAGATGTGGATTTCCTTCCCAGCACTCCCCACACACAGGATGGATGGATGGGTGGATGAATAGGTAAACATAGATTTAATAAATGTAATTTAAGTGTTTTATTTATTTATGTGTATGAGTGTTTTGCCTTTGTGTATATAAATGCGCTCTTGTCGTGCAATGCCCACAGAGGCTATAAGAGGGCGTCAGATCCCCTGGAACTGGAGTTACAGATGGTTGTTAGCCATCATATGGGTACTGGGAACTGAACCTGGTCCTCTGCAAGAGCATCCAGCACTCTTAACCACCAAGCCATCTCTTCAGCCCCCCAAATTTTTTAAAGACATCAGTAGACACTGTATCAGGTAGGAATGGAATGGGAGCCACAAGAATGAAGGGATGAAATAAAATAAAATGGGTAGGGCAGTGCAGAGTATGGATCAAAGGCCAGGTGTGGTGGCACACGCCTTTAATCCCAGCACTGGGGAGGCAGAGGCAGGTGCATCTCTGTGAGATTGAGGCCAGCCTGGTCTACATCTACATAGTGAGTTCCAGGCCAGCTGAGGCTACAGGGAGACCCTGTCTCAAAAAATAAATAATTTAAATGCTAAAGGAAAAAGGCTGTACCCACCAATGCACCGCCTGTGGAAGTGGTAGGTGTTGAACCCCAGCAGTCCTCAGAGGTATGCCCCAGTTTGGAGCAGGTGAGGTCAGACTAAATGCTCTCTCCCACACCTGGTGTTTTCACTCAGGAGCAAGTAGCAGATCATGAACAGAAAAACGTAAAAGAATCAGCTTCTTGCAGCTGCTCCTTCAAAGAGAACGAGAGGCAGGTACGGAGAGGTGTGATCAGGCAAGCACCCCAGGTGGTCAGTCCTGGCCAGGGTGAGAGCCCAGCAATGAACCAACAGGTGCACACACGGCCCAGGGCACCAGCACTCCAACCCCAGTCCTCCCTCTCAACCCTGCCCACTGCCCTTGCCCACTACCCATTGGCAATTTAGACAAAACCTAATTGACAGGCAAATGTCCAACCTGTGCGTCCAGGTGGGGGACATCTGAGTGCACTTAGCGCTGATAGAAAAACATCTTTGGCACTAAATAGCTTGGAGACTTGGAGACAAAATCATGAGAAAAGATTGAAAGAGAAGAGTAGAGAATCCCAGGAATCTTGGTGCAAAAGCAACACAGAGCATTCACTGAGTCACCCCAGCACACACTTGATGACCTTGCATCCCGTGAATCTGGTCAAGGTTCATGAGAACAGGTCTGAGGTGACAGGCTCTGCCCTTCAGTGCCCAGCCGACTGCCAATTAGACAGGAGAGGATTTAGGAGCAGTGAGCAAACTCAAGTTCCTCGGAGCCCTTGTGTCGTGTGGAAGGGGGTGACCCTTGATGCCCACAGCCCTACCTTACCAGAGTAGCTCTCCCTCTGATGTTTTATATGCCAATATCCTTATGGGGTTTCACTTAAGAGTTCTTCTGCAGGGGGGTGGGAGGAGGGGAAGAAAAGAAGCGGGCACAAATGAGGGTGGGTCAGCAGGTCAGGGATACAGTGTTTGCCTAGCATGCAAAAGGCCTTGAGCTCCTTCCCCAATACTTTTTTTAAAAAAAGAAAAGAAAAGAAAAAAAAACAGAAGGCTTAAAATCCCTGCTTTGTAGGACTTTGGATGGTGACTATTGTCAGAGCCTAGTCTCTAAACTAGGTTTGTGATATCTTTTTATCTGTGTGTGTGTGTGTGTGTGTATGTGTGTGTGTGTGTGTGTGTGTGTTCATGAGTGCAGTTGCTAGCAGAGGCCAGACGAGGGCATCAGATCCTCTGGAGCTGGAGTCAAGGCGATTGTGAGCTGCCCAGTGTGGGTGCTGGGAACTGAATGCAGATCATCTAGAGCAGCTGGCACTGAAGTGCTGAACTGTCTCTCCCATCCCAGCGTGATAAATATTGAACAGCTGCAAGCCCAAGGCCTTCTAAGTTGAAAATACCCAGAGGGCAACTGTCAGCTAGACTAAGGAGCAGGCACGCTCCCTGTCCCAAAAGACAGCTCCACTTGTTTCCTCCATGAGTTTTGGGAAATCCCAACGGGGTTGCCAAATTAGGGGGAAAAGGTAAAATAGGATACCCCATTTCATCTGGATTTTATGGGGTTTTTTTGTTTTTCTTTCAGTGCTGGGAATGGAGCCCAGGGCCCCTTGCATGCTAAACACTCTACCACTAAGGGTTTCTACAACCTTTGAATTTCAGACAAATAGTAATTTAGTTTAAGTATATTCCAAATATTGTATGGAGATATATTTACACAGAAATATATTTCCGTTCTGAAGTTTGGATGGAACTGGGCAGCATGCGTTTTCTCTGGCAGCCCATCAATAAGTAGTGACTGAGCTCCAGCCAAAGCGGGAGGCTCAGGAGCAGCTGAGCAAACAGCTGCCCACAGATGTATTTTGGTTTGGGGTTTGGGTAGTGGTGGTTTTTGTTGTTTTGTTCTTTGTGTGTGTGTGTGTGTGTGTGTGTGTGTGTGTGTGTGTGTGTGTGATGGTGTTTTTTAACTCACATCGCAATACCCTGGATTTCCAGCTTCTCTTACAATGGAAGATAAGAACACAAAGCCCACAAGCCACAAGCCACCATCTCTGGGCCCCAAAGGAAAGACCCAGGTGTCTGGTTTGTGGCTGACCCCACTTTGCCCCCTTTTCTTACCTCCAGGGCTGCTGGAGGCATTGACTCATGGATGCATGGGCCTCTCTGAGAACTTCCTCTGCCCGGTGGCCCTGCAGGTTCAGCCCTTGCCATCTGGGCCAGAAGGCCCCAGTTTCCACACTCACACTGTATCCTCTATACCTCCAAAGACTCTTCTGGGTACTGGCCCCAAGGTGGCGGGACTGCAGAGCACCAGGCTAACAGCTCCAAATTAAACTCAGGAGGACAGCATGCTCCAGACTGGAGTACTGGTAGCTTCCCAACAGGCCCCTGCAGTCCTTGACAGGGAGATCAGCCACTGTGGCTTCCTCACACCGCATTATACGGACACTTGCATCCTCTGCCCCCTGCACTGGAAGACCCTGTCAACAGCAGAAGCAGATTTGTCCTAAGAGTCTGTGTTCTATGGGAGTGGAGCTCTGCTGACCAGGCTTCCTCTAACTAGAATCAGAGATCCCTAAGAAGTTAAACAGGAGACCTCCCTCCACAAAGCAGACCTCCCTCTGCAAAGCAGTACTTCATTCTGCAGTCCTACATGTCACTCCCTACCCCCCCCCACCCCAAAGAGGGGCCCAACATTCCAAGTAAGCATCATCTTAAAAGTCGAGAAAGGCCCCACATCCAGCCGCTTTATGTCCTTTTTAAAGACTGTGAGCTAACATCTGTCCGGAACTCCAGTTCTAGGGGATCTGACACCCTCTTCTGACCTCTGCAGGCATTGTACAACATGGATGTACTCACATACATGCAGGCAATACACTCATACACATTAAATTTTTTAAAGAATTAAAAACAAAATAAAGCCAGGTGTGAAATATTAAAAAAAAGATCCCAGCACTCAGGAGTCAGAGGCAGGCAGATCTCTGTGAATTCAAGGCCAGCCTGGTCTACATAGTGAGTTCCAGGACAGCTGGGGCTACAAGGAGACCCTGTCTCAAAAAAGACAAAAATAATAAAGTTGAGGAAAAATCTGTTTCTTTCTGATGTAAAAGACACTATGACCATAAGCTGAATGTTGTCCCTATTCTGTCTGTATTAAAGAGACGCATGTTTGTAGAGATGGTGAAGAACAAGCTACACAACTCGAATCTCCAGGTGAGCCAGAAAGAGAAGAGAGAAAACAGTAGGTTAGTGGTAACCCTGTACCTGCTGGGAACCAACCACTTAGTGTGTGCGGGACACAGGGTGGTGCAGCATCTTACTCAATCTTTACAACACCCCCCACCCAGGGAACAGGTGTTATCCTAGCCCACAGAGGAGAGGCTCAGAGACACACAGTTAAGTAGGAAACCTCAGTGGGACCCAGTGCAGGTTGGATATATTGACCACTCTTTGCAATCTTTCTGACCATAGAGCTGCCACAGTTCAGGTAAGCATTTCTCTCAAA